GCCATTGAAGTATATAGGATCACGCTAAAAATCTTGAAAATGGATAGAAGTCTTTAAAGAAGTAAGAAGAATTTTAAAGTGTCCCAGCGTGTTTTTGAAAATGTATTTACTTTTTGCGAAATTTTAAGGGTAAATTTGTCACGTTTCCTTGTGAGATAAGGGTTGTATGTGAATTCGTAGTGGTTTTTCATCGGCGGAACGGGCTCTTCTGGGGCCCGGGCCCCGGTACCAGGGACCCAGTATATCCCCCCCCCCTTGTGGCGGGCCTGCGTGGATCGCCATGTTGATGCGCCTCTCGAGGTGGTCCCAAAAAAGGTTGAATCATCGAAAACTTACGGGTCTGATTGGTCACATTTGGTAGCAACCGAACCCACTAGCGTTGCTTTTTGATGAGATAAACATAGGCAGAACTTCTTAAAGAGGTTCGGAACTTGAAATATAATTCCAGGGCGTCTGCTGTCTACCAGTCCGTAAAGTCCCTTCGATTGTTTCTATTTTAATCAAGTTTTTCTGCAAAATGTAAGTCTCATTTCGGTGTGGCTGACGGCGTCATTTTTCGCTCGCACACGATATTCATCCATCGTTGCCCTTCATCTCACGATATTGCGCGTTTCGCGGGAAAACGCGTGTATTTTTGCACCGTTTGGCAACACCCGCGCACGATTCGCTGGATTTTCGCGGTGGCGGCAGCACGCGGCTCAAGATTCCGCGACCGGTCGTCGCGGGTCGCGAGGAAACCGGTAGTGGGCGCCTCGCGCCGACCATCGATCGGGGCATTTCCTCCCCCTTCCACGCCCCCCCGCCCGCCCCCCGGAATCCGAAAACATCTTGTACTCGGAGGAATTTCCGGTTATCTGGTTCTGCGGGTCCGTCGCGTCGCCGGGCGAGTGGGAGGCGCGCTCGGCCGGTGAAGGTCAGGCGCTGCCCGTGACCTTGGGCCCTCGACGCGGGTCAACGGACCCCCTCCCCCCCGATCATCTGAAAGTCCAAAGTTGCCGAACGAAACTTGAGTACCTGTCTACGGAGGGTACGGACATGTCGAAATATGGCAGCGCTCCCATTCCATGACCAGATCCATGATCATTCCATGATCAGAAGTTCCAGAATCCGGAACTTTTATTTTTCAATTTCCCCCATTCAATTATTAGAGTCCTTTTATACCCAGAGTTAAGACAACTCGATTATCAGCTGATTGGCAGCCGGCCTTGGCTGGCCATGGAGGCCGAAACGAGTGCACCCAAACGAACGATATTGAGGGATAAGGATCAGGAATCCTGCGATGTCTGTCACACAAAAACAAGAACATCAACAAATTGATCAATTAAAACGAAAATTAGATTGGTTTGTGAATAATTTCTTAATCTATTTTCATTTTAGACCGATGGAAATAACAATTTACTCTTGATAAACCACAATTAGGTAATATTTTCATTATTCTTGTTCACATTCGAGGTACCGCCATCGTGGTGCACTCGTTTCGGCCTCCATGAGCGAGAACCAATCAGAATTGGATTTTTTTTTGGCTACTTTCAGCCCAACCAAAAGTGAGTTGTCTTAACTCTGGGTATAAAGGGACTCTACATTCAACGACCGTCAAAAGATCCAGAATTCGGAACTTTTATTTTTCAATTTCCCCCATTCGATGACCGTCAAAAGATCCGGAATCCGGAAATTTTTTTTTCAATTTCTCCCATGCAATGACCGTCAAAAGATTCGGGATTCTTTTTAGATTTTTCCAAAAGTTCCGGAAAACGCGAAAGATCCGGAGACTTTCGGAAACTTCAAAAGTTCCGGGAAAAATTCAGAAAAAGCTCAAAAGTTCCGGAATTCGGAGCTAGTCCTGGGAAACGGGAGCACTAAAGCATGGAGCTCTTAGAGCCGAGGGCAGCCACCTTTCTAACACGAACAATTTAGCTGTCAATCTTCAGATTCCGATATCAAACCTAGATAGCCAAGAATGTTCATGAATGAACGCTCTCCCACAAAAATGAGTAAATTTAGGCAGAAACTAAGTCAAATAGGCACTTTACAAATAACAGGTCGTGCCAATTGCAATTAATAAAATAAATTACTCTGGATAATTTAATTTCATAGATTGGCTATCTTTTTGGGCCCTAACAGCTCCATCCAGTCTCAAAATTACCGATATGTCCGTACTCTACCTACATAGGTACTCTACGCAGAACTTACACTAAGTACCTTTACAGCGAGAGTTAGAGCATCTCTGTAAGTCATTGTTATTGTTTGGATCCAATTCAACATAGTGGTGAATCCATATGGTGACGTCATCACTAATAGCGTCTACGACCGACGACTAACAAAGTGTAAATCAATTGGTTTAGCAAGCCAACCCCTAATTTGCCGAAACTCGCCCAGCGGAGTGGGCGCACCGATATCAATCAGTCAGTATGAGGCAAATTTTATGCTCAACAAGTTGCTCATCAATCACCATCGATGACCTCTGAACTTAACTTTTGCCTCATACCCGATCACATTGCTTAGATTGTTGGCGCGAGGCTCTATATAAAATGCGCTGCCACTGATCATAGTAATCGCGTTTTAAGCGATGGAAAATCACGATGAGCTTGCGTAATACGGTTTTCGCCGAAACATCCATCGCTCCTCAGTCATTATCATCGACGGATTGTAATCGAATCAGCCGACCGAAATTTACATCGGCGAGTTCACGAAACGGTCTAAATGAAATGCGCAAAAGTCAGAATCCGGTCGAAAGATGATCCGAAAGCTTTCGAAAATATGCCTCGAAATGGACAAAAACAACCGCGATGGTAATCAGCTCGCCGAAGGACGACCATTTTTGCAATTTAATCACTCTCGAAAATCCCTCTCGGCTGAACTTTGAAAATCGAACTTTCCGATTGTTTTTCTCGGAGAACCGTTGCGTCACGGCCGGTGTGTAACAACGGGTCCGATTAAAAGACTTTAAATTATCCTCGAACGAGTCAAGTATCGACGACTTTTTCCCCCTTCTCGAGTCGGCATAATTTAAAATCTTGCGAACTTTTCAAAACGCTTTGCATAAATTTCCTGCCGGGTCGATTATTCCGCGCGGCAATGAGACGGTACCGAGTTTCGGGAATTCGCCAGGGTCTTCCTCAATTGGATGTGTTTCTGCCAAACGAACTATGTGTATTAAAGCATGAGCCCTGAGACACATAAGAATAAAAGAATAACAGGGCGCACGTCTTAATACACATAGTTCCGTTTGGCAGAAACACGTCCAATTGTATATTTCATTGCGCTCCGTTTATCGAGCATTGCACATCGGATCATTTTACTTTTGGGATCTTAAAATAAATTAAAATAATTCAAGTAAAAAATTAGCTCGGGTGAGTTCGCCATGTAAATTCGAATAAAAGTAGCGTAAATTATGTAAAACCGAGTTCAAACTGAAAATTCAGACTTGCCCTGACGAGGGTACGAATAGTTGCGCGCAACTATTTGCGCTCCCAAGCCGCTCATATTGCCACCAGACTTATTGAAGGCGCACTCGACACTTTAAACGTAAAAAGAGAGATTAAAATAAATTTATGAGTGAAATTTATTTATTTTTTTTGACCCCCAAAGAAAAATTTACTTGTTTGTGGATGAAATGAAGAGATTCCAAAGCATTTAGACGATTTTTCATAAACCACAAGAACGACTTCAGATTCTTTATGGGGAATAGGTGCATCTCAGTGGCGTGGCGTGCTTTGCGATTTATCGATTGTTCTGCCATTAAACCTATTGTAAAGAATCGATTATTATGGTGTTTGCTGCGAACACCCTGATTATCGGTCCTTTTCCATAAGTTTAATGGCATAACAATCGATATATCGCAAAGTACACTACACCACTGGTGCATCTAGACGGCGGGGAATTGCATACAAGTTGTGACGCATACCGACCAATGTCACCAGGTCTCCGTTTGAACTTTGAGCTTTATTTAGCGTTTGCAGCTTTTAATTTAACATCGAAGTTGGAGTGTTTCTAAGCACGCCGACAGTTTTTTCGTCAAAAATAACATGTGATTGTGTCAACAGTCTCCGGGTGCAGCATCCCTATTATGGAAGTAGAACTTTTTCGTTTCTTAACCTATTTCGGTTTGGTTTTTTGATCAATGATTCACTAGAAGCCCTCGGCGCGGCGTGGCGGTCGGCATGTAACGTATACGAGCGCCTACAAGACTGCTCGAATACTTCACGCATTGCGTCAATCACAGTGCACTAGTGCAGTCAGCGTGAAACGCATAGCGCCTACAAGACTGCATGAATACTTCACGCATTGCGTCAAACACAGTGCGGTCAGCGCGGCGCGGCGGCGGAAGTTAAAAATATTAAACCACATTTATGTTTGTTAGTTAATCATTTTTTTGGTCATTTCTTAGAAATGGAAGGCCTTGTTCACATAGAGATAAGTTTACGGAACTTAATTTCGCGCAAATTTCCGTGAAACTTTGCTAGTGTTGACACGGTTTTCACAAAACATATGCCTAACACGAGTAAACGCGTCTTTATGCACACACCCCCTTCTCCTCCGGCACGTTCACTCGATGGTTTTTATTGATGTTTCAGAACGAATGAGAAGGGGGCGGCAAAATACAGGCGGCCCATGCACTGGGAAAAAAACACATTGGATCTTGAGTTTGGACTCTTAAAAACATCGACAAGAAAACATACTCTTGATTCAATCAGATTCAAGCTCAAATCAAGAACCAAGCCTCTTCATTTGAGCGGATTTCCATTTGATTTAAGCTTAAATCTGACTGAATCAAGAGTATTTTTTCTTGTTAATGTTTTCAAGAGTCTGGACTCAAGATCCAATGTGTTTTTTTTTCCAGTGAACATGTGATTGTATCAACAGTCTCCGGGTGCAGCACCCCCATTATGGAAGTAAAACTTTTTCGTTTTAACCTATTTTGGTTTGGTTTTTTGATCAATGATTTGTATTTTCTTGACTCTGGGCGTGTTTGACCGTTGGTGTTTGTTGTCATGTTTCAGGAAGGGTAATGAAACTCCAGGTGGTGCCGCTGAGAATGATGCAAGCGGGCAATGGGACAGCGACCCCGAATCCGAGCTCGACGGCCCTGCAGAACGGCCTCGACTGCTTGCCGCTCTTCAACTCCCCGCAGGACCTCCTCTGGAGGTACCCCTTCAACTTCCCCTCCACGCCCACCACCCCGACCTCACTATCCTTCGTCATGGACTTCAAAACTCATCTCCCAATGAATCTAGGTAAGATCTCGCGAATATTCTTCTAAAGCCTCATGTAAACAACAACAAAAACACACTAAAATACAAAAAACAAATGGTGTACAAGGCTAGAGGAGACATAAAACAACCAGGATGTTTCGGGCCAATTACATGCTCATTCTCAACTGGAACAGAAGCTAAAAAATGTAAAAATTAAAACGAGAAAATGAGCATGCAACTGACCGAGGTAGGAATCAGTGCAAACTGAAAAACAGAGCAAAGATGGACGGAGTGGCACTATCACCTCCTTGATAATAGGCCTCATGTAAATCAGGGTGTCTACAAGTCCGGAATTTCCGGAAAGTCCGGAAATAGTACTATTTTTTTAAGGGCGGTCCGGAAGTACTGAAAAAGTGCGGACATTCCGCAAGAAGGTCCGGAATTTTTATAATTTTTTTGTCATTTTTGTCTCAATTAGAGCGAAATTCAAATTTTTGAAATGTTTTGAATTTAGTCAATAATTGGAGGTACTGAAAAAGAACTGAATTTTTCTGTCGAGGAGGTACTGAATTTCTCGGGAATGCACCGAAAAAGTACTATAAAAGTACTGATTTTTGGTCTGCCTGTTCTAGTGAACACCCTGAAGGAATTCATTTCGAAATTGTTTTTAGGTCTGAACAAGAAAAAAAAAAAACTTAAAATGTGGCCCGAACTTTATGTAAGGGTGTCTACTGTGCGGAAAAAGTATGGATACACTGAAAAGCACGGATTTCGGAAGGTTGGCACGGAAGTACGGAAAAGGTACGGAAATTCGAGTTAAGTGTGACGAACTCTTGAAAATAGCCTTGAGGGTATGCGATCTTCTAGCATAATCCATTTATCAACATCACAGTTCTATTCCTCTTGTTTTTCGGTTTATTCCTTTTTCATTCCATAGTTTCTTTTACCCGATTCGAATACAGTTAAAAGTAAGAAAATGGTTAGGAAAATGCAAGGATTTTTGTGAATTGCAAAAATAAGGAATTCTTGGGAGAGGAAGGAAAAAGTATTGATTAAGCGAGGACTTTGAATGACAGGGTGTCTATAGACACTCAAGACGCTGCCATATGTTTAATGTTGTTTGGTCAAAAAGGTCAGAAACGAACAGTCCCGGTTCGTTCGTTTCTGCTATTAATTCCCAGAAATTCAGTTCCTCTTCGCGCAGTACCGTAAGCTTCAATGCCCACCTGCCGCTACCACAATACCAAGGAAAAGTCGCAACTCGCCTCCGCTCAGACAGAAACGTGCCCAGCTCACGTGTTCCCGAATCCGAAGATAACGCAGTGCAGCGCGCTTACTTCCTGGTCCCACAGCTCCTCGTTTTTCCCCGCCGCAAAGTGGATCGAGTCAACAGGAGAGGTTGGACAAAATTCGGAAAGTTTAAACGCTCATAACTCCGTTTATACAAAACTTTGAGGTTCTAGAAGTGGTTCCATTGGTTTCCTCGTGAAATTTCCTACTCGAGGCACCCCTCGAATGGAGATGTTGCATGTGTGAGGGATTTGCAATTTGATCATTGATTCTTATGTAAAAGTTCGCGGGGAACACTATGGTGCCACTGGTTTTCTCTGAAATCATCTCCCGAGCTCAAAAAAAGCTCTCAAGTTGAGGCCAAAATGGATGGGATATCCCACCCTACCCTGAGAGTTCACCCTACATCAAAACAAACTATCCATGCAAAGATAGGGAGCAAATACATTAGCAGTGATGCCGTGTTTTCAGTTTTGGAGTCCCCAAGTAAAGTGGCAGCCCTGTCAATGTATTTTCTCCCTATCTTTGCATGGAGAGTTCGTCTTGATGTAGAGGTGGACTCTCAGGATAGCGTGGGATAATTGGGATATCCCCTCCATTTTGGCCTCACTTTGAGAGCTTTTTTTGAGCTCGGGAGTTGATTTCAGAGAAAACCAGTGGCACCATCGTGTCTCTCGCGAACTTCTACATAATAATCAATGGTCAAATCGCAAATCCCTCACACACGCAACATCTCCATTTTAAAATACGACGAACTAAACATCAAACTTTGCATTTTCAGTCAAAAATTTCGTGTCCGAGCTATCTAATTGAGTAGATCCACTGTGCGTCGCGCCCGTCGCGAATTTTGACACACTCATAAATTCACCATAAGGGGACCTGGGGGGGGGGGGGGT